ACTCCATTCTGATTCCTCATAACTTTACTTCCAGCTCAACCACAATTCCTACCCCACACCTTAATTGTCTATGTAAAATCGCACCCCACCTAATCCACCGTCTTGCTCGTCTCCAGTCAACTTCCAATTAAATTTTCCTTAGCAAAGAAGACTTTTGTAAACAAAGAGACTGTTCCTTCTCATCTCAGCCACTTACCTTACCCTTTTAGTCTGTTTTCTCACAGATTGCTCTGCCTACCAACCTTTTTTACTTTATGTATTTATCCTAACTATAATAACTCCATAGAACTCAAATGTTCCCATCCTACCACCTAACTGGAACCCACAACAATCTCCCAAATACCCCAAATAGGTCCATCTGCCATCTTTCCGTAACCTTTAAACATCTCTCTGTCCTCCACCTTTATATCAGTCTCCTAACACCAAAATCTTTATCATCACTCCAGTTCCTCTACTGCACTCTAACTCCTCATGCGTCCAACCAACGTTTTTATATTCTGTTACATCACTGTGAATTCTTTCTGCTTTCAGCATTTCCTAGAACTATCCTCAAAGTCTACCGAGTAGGTGAGCTTGAATACTATTTACAGAGGAGAACCCATTTATGTCCCAGCAGATTCATCTGGCTACTTATTTGGAAACAAAAATGGGACCTGAGGAATATTTGCTGTACTCAGTGGTACAACCATATCTCACCTCATTGTGCTTCCAAACCTCATAACATTTTGCTGTATAATTCTGATCTTACTAACCCTTCTCATCTCCAACTTCTCATTTTCTTGCTTTCTAAATTCCCCACCATACCATATGCAGCTCACCAATCTTCCACTGCACCCAACGTATCTCCACCCAATCCTCCATGTCATTGCACCATGCCATACTCCCCACTCCAACACACCCACTTCACCAATCACTTCCATTGCACTTAAGTCTCCCTATCACGCCACCATACCGTACATAACTCACCAAGCCACCTCACCCAAAGTATCTCCACCTCATCCCGGTGCACTACCACTATATTGAAATATCTCCTCCCCCTCACTCCATCATACCATATACAACTCACCAGTTGACCACAACACCCTGCAATTTCTCCTCACCCTGCTATACCACCCACAGTTCACCAATCCCAAAAAAGCTCCTTCTGCCACATCATATTGATCATAAACCTCTGCCATACCATGCAGTTTCTCCTCCCTTGACCTCACCACACTATACACAGCGGATCAATCCCTAGCACATATTGCATAATGTTCCCCACCCCACCTCTACACCCCTTCATAGCCTGTAAAGTTTAGCAGTACTCCACACTATACAGTATCCTCTCCACATCACTACAACACACCCACCATACATAGCTACCCAATTGTCTACCAAACCCTGTGGGATCTCCTCAACTCACCATACCATACACAGATCATCAGACGTCCACCAAACCCAAAGTATTTACTCCTCATGCACAGCTCATTCATCATTTACCAAACCCAAAGTATCTCCTCCTCCTCCTTACTCCACAGCTCATCAATCCTCCTTCAAACCGCAAATATCTCTTCCTTCTCACCCCACCACACCATACACAGCTCATCAATCCACTGAGCTAAACGTATCTCCTTCTCAACCCACCACATCATGCACGACTCATCCATCCTTCCCCAAGTCCAAAGTATCTCCTCCTCCTTACCCCACCACTTCATACACCGCTCATCAATCCTCCATCAAACCCAAAGTATCTTCTCCTCACCCCACCACACCATACACAGCTTGTTAATCCCCTTACAAACCCAAAGTATCTCCTCTTCCTTACCCCACCACTTCATACACAGCTCATCAATCCTCCATCAAATCCAAAGTATCTTCTTCTCTTCCTCACCCCACCACACCATACACAGCTTGTAAATCCCCTTACAAAACCCAAAGTATCTCCTTCCTTCACCACAGCATACACAGCTCATCAATCCTCCAACAAACCCAAAGGATCTTCTTCTCCTTACCCCACCACACCATACATAGCTTGTTAATCCCCTTACAAAACCCAAAGTATCTCCATCTCCTTCCTTCACCACAGCGTACACAGCTCATCAATCCTCCAACAAACCCAAAGGATCTTCTTCTCCTCACCCCACCACACCATACATAGCTTGTTAATCCCCTTACAAAACCCAAAGTATCTCCATCTCCTTCCTTCACCACAGCATACACAGCTCAACAGACCTCCACCAAACCCAAAGTATCTGCTCCTCATCACATTCTGTCTTCCCACCACAGTTCTTTATTATCAGCCTTCGTATAAAAATGGAATTGTGCAATACGAATCATATAGGTGATCTTTTGTGTGCTCCTCTGCTGAGATTCAGGGAATTGCGGGTGTAGAATCGGCAAGGAGAATCTGGTAATAATGTACATAGTCTAATGACAAACTTAATCTATAGCACCGACTTCTGCAATTCTGGATTGTTTGACTGACTGCTAATGATTTGCACTAATTAATAAATTCAAGAATGTTGACAAGAGACGTGTCAAGAATTTTCTGTGCGTGGCATTGAGTTCCTCTGGTTACATGGACAGTTTGATGTTTATACCGGTATTTGTAGATGTACTTTTCTTTCCCTTTGTTCTCGTTCAAAGGTACTTATGAAAGTTTGGGACATTTCCTCAATCATACTTCTAGAGGAACAAATAATTAATCCCAGTGGCTAGGTGATTAGCACTTCCGCCTGGCAGTAGACCTATGCCCACCACAAATTTTTGTTTCATTTCGGATGCTTTTGTTCATTGAAAAATTTATTTTCATCGTAATCGTTATGTTGACCTGATTTGGAATTAATTTCATATCTTCGACGTATACTCGTTGGTCTGGGTGGATTTCAACAATGTTGCAGTTTTTCCGTAAGATTGCTACAGTGGGGCAAAAAAGTATTTAGTCAGCCACCAATTGTGCAAGTTCTCCCACTTACAAAGATGAGAGAGGCCTGTAATTGGCATCATAGGTAGACCTCAACTATGGGAGACAAAATGAGAAAACAAATCCAGACAATCACATTGGCTGATCTGGAAAGAATTTATTTGCAAATTATGGTGGAAAATAAGCATTTGGTCAATATCAAAAGTTCATCTCAGTACTTTGTTTTATATCCTTTTGTTGGCAATGACAGAGGTCAGACGTTTCCTGGAAGTCCTCACAAGGTTGGCACACACTGTTGCTGGTATGTTGGGCCCATTCCTCCATGCAGATCTCCTCTCTAGAGCAGTGATGTTTTGGGGCTGTCGCTGGGCAACACAGACTTTCAACTCCCTCCAAAGGTTTTCTATGGGGTTGAGATCTGGAGACTGGCTAGGCCACTCCAGGACCTTGAAATGCTTCTTACGAAGCCACTCCTTCATTGCCCGGGCGGTATGTTTGGGATCATTGTCATGTTGGAAGACCCAGCCACGTTTCATCTTCAATGACCTTGCTGATGGAAGGAGGTTTGCACTCAAAATCTCACGATACATGGCCCATTCATTCTGTCCTGTACATGGATCAGTCGTCCTGGTCCCTTTGCGGAGAAACAGCCCCAAAGCATGATGTTGCCACCCCCATGCTTCACAGTAGGCACAGTAGTAGACAGAGGAGCCTCTTAAAGAAGAAGGTACAGGTCTGTGAGAGCCAGAAATCTTGCTTGTTTGTAGGTGACCAAATACTTATTTTCCACCATAATTTGCAAATAAATTCTTTCCAGATCAGCCAATGTGATTGTCTGGATTTTTTTTTCTCATTTTGTCTCTCATAGTTGAGGTCTACCTATGATGCCAATTACAGGCCTCTCTCATCTTTGTAAGTGGAAGAACTTGCACAATTGGTGGCTGACTAAATACTTTTTTGCCCCACTGTATATATTTGATATATTTTGACAGATTGGAATCGGAAGGATTCAGTATTTTCAGACGCTAGCCCAACCCACCAAGAGAAATGGCATGATTTGTTCGGACAATATTAACTGGCGTCCTGTGCATCCAAATTAACAATTGGAATGAAGTGCTGATCCATTCGTTAACCGAATCTGAATAATCGAATAATTTGAAAATTGAATTCATTTTCCCATGGGCCCACGATATTTTACTTTTTTTTTTATCAGAACCCAGAACCACCCTGCCAAACCTTCTTATTGACTTTCACTCTTTTCAGTTTCTCTCCAGTCATAAAATTAATTTCTCCAAATCCTGTGCTCTAAATGTTTCCCTTCCGCCGGAGGTGGTCACTGCATGTAAATCACATTTCCCGATCAAATGGGAAACGGAAGCCCTTACGTATCTCAGCATACAGCTCCCTGATACTCTCCAGCAGCTATACACTAAAAACTTTATCCCTGCCCTTCGAGCCATTCAGGAAGACCTCTCGACTTGGCATCGCCCATGTTTTTCCTGGTTCGGAAGGGCCGCGATCCTTAACCCCTCGCCTATCGGGCACTTCTACCCCCTTCCTGCCTACCGGGCACTTCTACCCCCTTCCTGCCTACAGGGCACTTCTACCCCCTTCCTGCCTACAGGGCACTTCTACCCCCTTCCTGCCTACAGGGCACTTCTACCCCCTTCTTGCCCAGGCCAATTTTCAGCTTTTCAGCGCTCTCACACTTTGACAATTGCACGGTCATGCAACACTGTACCCATATAAAATTTTTATAATTTTTTTGTGTGACAGAGCTTTCTTTTGGTGGTATTTTAATCACCTCTGGGTTTTTTATTTTTTGCTAAACCAAAAACCACTGAAAATTTTGAAAAAAAAATTTTTTTTTTTCCTAGTTTTTGTTAGAAAATGTTGTAAATAAGTGATTTTTCTCCTTCACTGATGTGCGCTAATGAAGCTGCAGTGATGGGCACTGATAGGCTGCACTGATGGACACTGATAGGTGGCACTGATGAGGCACTGGTAGGTGGCACTGATGGGCATTTACAGGCATCACTGATGGACACTGAAAGGCAGCACTCATATATGGCACTGATAGGCGGCACTGATAGGTGGCACTGATTGGCAGCACTGATAGGTAGCACTGACTGGCACTGCTAGGCGGCACTGACTGGCACTGATAGGTGACACTGAAAGGCAGCTCAGATGAGCACTGATATGTGGCATTGATGTGCACTGGTAAGCACTGATGTGCACTGGTAGGCACTGATGTGTGGCATTGATGTGGCACTGATGGGCACTGGCAGGTGGCATGAATGAGCACTGACAGCTGGCACTGATGGACACTGACAGGTGGCACTTCTGGGTCTACACAGATCATCAGGGCACACTGATCATCAGTGCCCTGATGATCAGTGTACATGTCCCCTCCGAGGAATGCCGATTACCGGCTCTCCTCTCCTCTGTCAGCGTGACAGCTCGTGAGGAAAGAAATGCTGACAATTGGCATTTCTCTATTTACATGCGATCAGCTGTGATTGGACACAGAGATCTTTGGCTCTTCCCGTTGATCCTCTGTGTCCAAGGGACACAGCACACCACTGATCGCCGCGCTGCGCACTCCCAGAGCCGCGCATGCGCGATTAGAATGGGACAACGTCATAATGAGTCCTCCCACAACGAGAGAACCGCCTTGCGTCCATCATTTCCTTATATGGCGGGCGGGAGGCGGTTAAAATGAACATCCTCCCCCGCCTTCTCTACCTGTTCCAGACCATTCCTATCCACTTGCCACCGACTTTCTTTTCTCTTTGCAGGAGAATCTGCTCACAGTTCCTATGGAGTTACCAACGGCCACGTATTTCCTTTTCGCAATTCACCCTCCCCAAATCCAAGGGGGGTATCGATCTCCAAAAATATAATCTCACCAGAATTATAGATTGGATTGTGCATTCATCCACAAAAGCTTGGGTTTGCCTGGAGGATTCCCTCTCTCCCTCTCCTTTGGCATTGATTCCTTGGCTCCCGCAGAAACATACCCCCATGATACTTCATACACACCCATTGATTGGAGCGACTTTGCAGATCTTTCAGTCGGCATGCAAAGCGTCTTTAATTGCTGATGCCCCTAATCCTCTTACCTCCCTACGCATGAACCTGGATTTCCCACGGGGCCTGCATTCCTCTTTTCTAGTGGACCATTGGCCTCACCAACATGTGCGTGCAAAACACTTCTTGTAATGGCCAACTGAAGACCCTAGCCTCGCTCATCCCCTCCTTGAAGGATCATACCTTCCCCTTTTGGGCATATCTCCAAATAAGACATTTCCTCTGCTCTAAACCCCACCACAACAAATGGACCCACCCTCTCACCCCCTTTGAAGCTCCAAAACGGAACCCCAACGACATTTGGTTTCTACCATGTATCTTCTCTTATTTGGAGACCGACTCCCTTCCACAATCCTGGCCTGCTGAGCATGGGTGAGAGACTTGGACATCGATTTATCTTCTTCGGATTGGGACCAAATATTCACCTATGCTCATAAAGGTTCCTCGAACGTATCTACGCATGAAAATGGATATAAACTGGTCCCCCGATGGTATAGGACCCCCTCCAGTCTCCATCACTTTAACCCGAGTTTACCCAAATCATGTTGGAGATGTGACTCCGAGAATGGCTCACTTCTGCACATTTGGTGGTCCTGTCCTGCCATTCAACCCTTCTGGAAAGAGGTCCATCGCATACCCTCGTCGGTCTCCTCGCTACTTCTTGAATTCTCCCCAGCCCAATGTCTTCTCCACCATACCTCGCCTCTACTTCAAGTCACTAGCAATGCATATGTTAAATGCAGCCAAACTAAGCATACCAGCCCTATGGAGGTCTACCCAACCCCCATCGATTCGAGATTGGCTGCTCCGTCTGCTTAGAGTAGCAGAGAGGGAGGAACTCATAGAATCATCCCGTGACAACCCGACCAAATTCTCGCACACATGGACCTGTTGGATCCACTTTCAAACGATTCCCGAATATTGCTCTATTATGGGCTTCCCTCCTTGCTAACCCCCGATCTTGGAGCCTTCGCTCGCTTGCTTGTCTGATTGATTCACTGGACCCCTCCCCGGTGCAAAACGATCTTCTCTTCATTTTTCGTTAATGGACATGTGACTCGCCTTCTTGTCATCCATCTACCATCATTCGCTTTCTCCCATACACACTCTCCTAAGCTTCCTCAGATTGTTACTGTTAGGCTCACATATCACCCTCGAAAATAAGATACGTACCCCTTGAACGGCTTAACGACTACTAGAAATTCCGACCCGCAATCCCCTCCTACGTAGACCTATCTGATTTTGTTGCACGCCCCAATCTCTTAACGATTTAAGATTTTTATGTTTCCAGATCAGATAGACAGCTATGCCCCATGGAGAGCCCTCCATCCAAACCGCGGATGGGAACAACTCCTCCCTTACTTTGGATGTATTCCCTCGAAGTCTGTATTCTCTCTTCACAGTATGCACTGATTGTGGGTTTCCGATTAATTTTATTGCCCAAAAGTGTATGCCTTTCTGTACGCGTTGACCATTGTGATACATACAATATTCCTTTATGCTGTACTTTTGACCTGTACTGTTTCCTTGTTCCTAATAAAACGTTATGGAAAAAAAAAAAAGAAATAGCATAGAAAGAAAAAAAAGAATTTGCTTGGGAAAAAGGTACGTATTGATTGGTTTGCGTGGAAGTTATAGTTTCTACAAACTATGCTTTATATACTGGAATTTTTAGTTATGTATTTAATACTACTAATGGCACCCATTAGAGACTTATAGCAGGACAGTGATAGTACGGAGGACAATCTGACACTAACTGACACTTTGTGGGAACTAACTGCCACTAACATCTCTAGTGCTGCTAATAGTGTTCAGTGATAATAATATGCACTGACACTGTATTACCCACATGGAAGAAAAATATATTTGAAATATATTTTAAAAATATTCTTCCCAAATATATTGACATTTATTTGAAATGCTACAATTTTGGCCGTATTCAATATATATATTTATATATATATATATAGTATTTATATAGCGCCAGAAGGTTTGCTCAGCGCTGAACATTATAGTACATACATGAGACAAGACAGTAACAAAATAATACACGAGGGGTGCGATACCAGGGGATAGTGGTACAGTATGAAGTGGCTGTGAGGGATGGAGTGGTAGGAGGAGTGGAGGAGATCGGCTGTTAGGTAAGGGTGGGGTAGGCTTCCCTGAAGAGATGGGTTTTCAGAGTGCACCTAAAAGTGAGGAGAGTAGGTGACAGTCTGATGGATTGGGGTAGTGAGTTCCAGAGGATGGGGGAAGTCCTGGAGAAGTCCTGCAGTCGGGCGTGGGAGGAGGAGACCAGGGAGCTAGAAAGTAGGAGGTCTTGTGAGGAGCGAAGATTACGGGTTGGGCGGTATTTGGATATCAGGTCCGTGAGGTAGTTTGGGGCAGTGTTATGAATGGCTTTGTACGTCAGTGTTAGTATTTTGAATTTAATGAATATATATATATATATATATATATATTGTATGTAGAAATGCATTTTTATTACAAAGTATATAAAAAATGTTTATAAAAATACATTTCAAATATACTGTATGTCTTTTAGAAATACAAAAAAAGAAATCTAAAGAAATATATTATTATTATTATACAGGATTTATAAAGCGCCAACAGTTCGCTCAGCGCTGTACATTACAATGGGAGACAATACATGAGACAGAACAATACCAATACAATGCAATACACGAGGGGTTCGAGGGCCCTGCTCCTCGGAGCTTACAATCTTAAAAAAATATATATTTTTAAAAATATATATTTTTTAAATTTATTCTTCAGTTCTGTTTTAACATATAAAAAAGTCATTTCAACATATATTTTTACATATATTTGTAAATGCATTCCAAAAATGTAGATTTGTATTTTTAAAGACATAAAGTATATTTGAAATTTATTTTTAAAAATATTTTTCATATGTTTTGTAATAAAAATGCATTTCGACATGATATATATATATATATATATATATATATATTTTTTTTTTTTTTTTTTATGTATTGAATATGGCTAAAATTGTAGCATTTCAAATATGTCAATATATTTGGGAAGAATATTTTTAAAATATAGTTCAAATATTTTCTTCCATATGGTTAATGACACTGGATTGGAAGGGGTTAACATCTAGGGGCGATCAAAGGGTTAACTGTGTACCTAACAATGCTTGGTGTGTTTCCTGTGTGCTGATTTTGCTAAGGGACATGCCGGTTTTTATTCTCTGCTTTGCAGGGAAACAAAAAGTGGCACATTCCCGCTGTCAGGATAGAGCTCTGTGTTGTTTACAATCACAGAGCTCTGTCCTGTCATCTGCTTCACCAGTTGGTAGGTCCCGGCCATCAATCATTGGCCGAGACCTGTTGAGCAGCTTCTGCTGTAACAAGTCGCAGCAGAGCTGGGGTGGGGGGCACGCGCCAGCCCCCTACCCAGAAGAGCTGGATTGCGTATTCGATATGTGACCCAGTGCAGGGATACGGTTATTTTCGGATTCACTGACATTCCTTTTTACGTCTACATCCGAATCTTCAAAAATTTAATTTTCATCCAAAAAGCCAAGTGAAAAAAAAATGCACATGTCTACGTAGCCGCACTAGGGTCATCTGATTGAATCCCAACCCCGGCACCACCTGCCTGGAGTTTGCATGTTCTCCTTGTGCCTGCGTGGGTTTCCTCCAGATACTCCGGTTGACTCCCACTCTCCAAAGACATGCGGGTAGGGTAATTGGCTCCTGTCTAAATTGGGCCTATTATGTGTATGAATAGGAGTTAGGGACCTTTTATTGTAAATTCCTTGAGGCCGGGGACTGATGTGTCTCTCCCAGAAGTGAGTCCACCCCTCACATTTGTGTCAACATTTGATTCTCTCTTTTCATGTGACAATACTGAAGAAATGAAACTTTGCTACAATGTGACGTAGTCAGTGTACAGCTTGTATAACATGTAAATTTGCTGTCCCCTCAAAATCAATCAACACACCGCCATTAATGTCTAAAACCGCTGGTAACAAAAGTGAGTCCCCCCCGAAGTGACAAGGTCCAAATTGGGCCCAAAGCGTCAATATTTTGTGTGGCCGCCATTATTTTCCAGCACTGCCTTCACCCTCTTGGCCATGGAGTTCACCAGAGCTTCACAGATTGCCACAGACTCCTCCATGACACATCACGGAGCTGGTGGATGGAGTCCTCCTCCACCTTCCCTCTTCCACTCCTCCATGAAGACATCACGGAGCTGGTGGATGTTAGAGATCTTGCACTCCTCCACCTTACCTCTTCCACTCCTCCATGATGACATCACGGAGCTGGTGGATGTTAGAGACCTTGCGCTCCTCCACCTTCCGTTTGAGGATGCCCCACAGATGCTCAATAGGGTTTAGGTCTGGAGACACGCTTGGCCAGTCCATCACCTTTACCCTCAGCTTCTTTAGCAAGGCAGTGGTGGTCTTGGAGGTGTGTTTGGGGTCGTTATGATGGAATACTTCCCTGTGGCCCAGTCTCCGAAGGGAGGGGATCATGCTCTGCTTCAGTATGTCACAGTACATGTTGGCATTCATGGTTCCCTCAATGAACTGTAGCCCCCCAGTGCCGGCAGCCCTCATGCAGCCCCAGGCCATGACACTCCCACTACCATGCTTGACTGTAGGCAAGACACACTTGTCTTTGTACTCCTTACCTGGTTGCCGCCACACACGCTTGACACCCTCTGAACCAAATCAGTTGATTTTGGTGTCATCAGACCACAGAATATGGTTCCAGTAATCCTTGTCCTTAGTCTGCTTGTCTTCAGCAAACTGTTTGCGGGATTTCTTGTGCATCATCTTTAGAAGAGGCTTCCTTCTGGGACGACAGCCATGCAGACCAAATTGATGCAGTGTGCGGTGTATGGTCTGAGCACTGACAGGCTGACTCCCACCCACCCCTTCAACCTCTGCAGTAATGCTGGCAGCACTCATATGTCTATTTCCCAAGTATGGATATGACGCTGAGCACGTGCACTCCACTTCTTTGGTGGACCATGGCGAGGCCTGTTCTGAATGGAACCTGTCCTGGCAAACCGCTGGTCTTGGCCACCGTGCTGAAGCTCAGTTTCAGGGTCTTGGTAATCTTCTTCTAGCCTAGGCCATCTTTATGTAGACACAATTCTTTTTGTCAGATCCTTAGAGAGTTCTTTGCCATGAGGTGCCATGTTGAACTTCCAGTGACCAGTATGAGAGAGTGAGAGCGATAACACCAAATGTAACACACCTGCTCCCCATTCACACACGAGACCTTGTAACACTAACAAGTCACATGACCCCGGGGAGGGAAAATGGCTAATTGGGCCCAATTTGGACCTTGTCACTTAGGGGTGGACTCACTTTTGTTGCCAGCAGTTTAGACATTAATGGTGGTGTGTTGAGTTATTTTCAGGGGACAGCAAATTTACATGTTATACAAGCTGTACACTGACTACGTCACATTGTAGCAAAGTGTGTCATTTCTTCAGTGTTGTCACATGGAAAGATAGAATATTGACAGAAATGTGAGGGGCGGACTCACTTCTGGGAGATACTGTGTATCATGAGGCAATGAATAAATGTTGTTCTTTAACTTTCCTGCTTTAAATACCAAGAAGGCTACTTAACTGCTGAGTATGGTCTTCTCAACACCTGAAAATGATCTGCTCCAGAACCTGCACTGTGCAGGAAACAAACTCTAACACATTTGTGAAAAATAGAACTTTAAATGTTAACAGAAAAACAAAACGCTTTTAGACCGTGAGTAACAATACACAGAACACGCCGTCCCATTTGCTTGGTCCTCACCCCATAGATGAATGGATTCATGAAGGATGGAAATACAATGTAGATGTTGGCTAGGAAGAGGTGGACGTTACGGGGGATGGTCCTTTTCCCAAACCTATAAGTGACTAGGAAGAGGTGGACGTTATTGGGGATGGTCTTTTTCCCAAACCTATAGGTGACTAGGAAGAGGTGGACGTTACGGGGGATAGTCCTTTTCCCAAACCTAAAAGTGACTAGGAATAGGTGGACATTACGCGGGGCGGTCCTTTTCCCAAACCTATAAGTGACTAGGAATAGGTGGACATTACGGGGACGGTCCTTTTCCCAAACCTATAAGTGACATAGAAGATTCCCAGTAGGTAGGCAATGATGAAAACACAGATATGGGAGCCACACATTCCTACCGCTTTGTGCCTCCCTGGAGGACATCTTGAAGACGTCTCGTAAGATTGTGGCGTAGGACAGTCCAATGAAGAGCAGGTCAAACCCGGTGATGGAAAGTGAAAGTGCTAATCCATAAACATTGTCAGTCCTTGTGTCTCCACACGCCACGTTGACCACGGCCATGTGATCAGAGTACGAATGTAAGACAATGTTGTCACCACAGGTCTTCAGATGTCCTACTTGAACTGGAATGGAGATGACCACAATGGCTCCGGCCAGAATGAGAAGTGCAATCTTCTCCAGTAGCGAGTAGGTGAGGACAGCATTGTATCTCAGTGGGAAACAGATGGTCATAAATCGGTCACATGCTATAGAAGCCAGGAAGCCCGACTCAATGACTGCAAGACAATGGACAAAGAACATTTGTGTTGGACAGCTGGTGGCATCGATAAGACCACCATTCATCCAGAAGATCCCCAGAGTTTTTTGGGAGAGCAGAGCTGGGGAAGGCCAAGTCGTTGAGGGCAAGCATGGAGAGGAAGAAGTACATGGAGGCTCTTCTCGGTTTTTATTACATACAGTACGGTTCCATTTCCCCGAAGAGCCAGGACATGAAGAAAACAGAAGAAGATAGATGTCCAGACAACTCCTTCTTGCAATCCTGGGATCCCAACCCCAACAAGGGCAACTAATATTGGGAACAGGGAGCATGGTTTGGTAGGAAGAAATGAACTCCATTTAGAGACACAAATATATAAAAAAGAAAAGAAAAAGAAGTTTTGAAAATAAAATAAAAAGATAGGGTAACTAAACGCAAAAACAGCAGCGCATCTAAAATGTAGATATTTTATAAGAGACGGTACACTGTTGGGTCTGCTTCTATATGTTCTGAATGTTCTGATCCAAAGAAAGCCGATAACTGACAATTCTGAGAGAACACATTTACACTGATAAGCTGGGTACTGATCTTCAGTGCCCTGATTATTGGTGCAGCCCCGTCCGTACCATCAATGCCCACCAGTGCATCAGTGTAGCATATCAGTACCACCTACTGGTGCCCATCATTTCCACCTGTCAGTGCCGACTTGTCAGTACCTCCTCAGTGCCCATCAGTGCAGGTTATCAGTGTCTATCAGTGCCACCTCATCAATGCAGCCTCGTCAGTGCCCATCAATGCCGCCTCATCAGCGCACATCAGTGCAGCTTATCAGTGATGCCTCATGTGTGCAGCCAGTACCCATCAGTGCAGCCTTGTCAGTGCAGCAGTGTAGTCTCGTCAGTGCCCATCAGTGTAGCCTCATCAGTGCCCAACAGTGCAGCTTATCAGTGCCGCTTCATCTGCACAGCCTCATCAGTACCCATCAGTGCAGCCTCATCAGTGCCCAGCAGTGTAGTCTCATCTGTGCCCAGCAGTGTAGCCTTGTCAGTGCCTATCAGTGCCGTCCTATCTGTGCAGCATTATCAGTGCCCAGCAGTGTAGTCTCGTCAGTGCCGAACAGTGTAGTCTTGTCAGCAGGGGCGGACTGACAATTTGGAAACTCGGGCACTGCCCGAGGGCACGGGGTCAGTAGGGGGCCCCATGAGATGCCCCTGGTACCTTTTTCATAGGCTTTTTTGAGTTTGGGCAAGGACACAGGGGCCCCATGATCCGATATTGCCCGGGGGCCCCATTAGTTGTCAGTTTACTGTTTACTGGACATGTTTAATAGCAAAAAGTAAAAAATATTGTTTTTTTCTCAAAAATTTCTTTTTTTTTGTTTATTATTATTTATTTAGATTTATTATCTAAATTATTTAGATTTTCTAAAACTGGAGGGTGCAAAATCTGGTGCAGCTCTGCATGGCAGCCAATCAGCTTCCAGGTTTTATTGTCAAAGCGTAAGTGAACGAGCTGAAGTTAGGCCGGCCATACACGGGTCAATTTCCGGGTTGTACCTAAGAATATTTGACCCATGGCGCCGGCCGATTTTCTTGGATCCTCCCAATTTCATTTATCGGGCATGTTGGAAAATTCGCGAAAAATGAGCAATTTTCAAAATCATTGGTGGCACCATCGGATTACAGAACGAACTACGTTTTCGATAGAAAAAAATCGTTCAGAATTCGACCTGTTTGGCCTGCTTTAGAACTGATTGTCTCTCATGCACAGCTGCACCAGATTCCAGGTGCGCCAGTTTTACTAAGTCTCCCCCAGGGGGTCATATAAAGCTTGTGCAATATTGAGAACGGCCAATAGGTGGCGCTCTCCTCCTTTCCATTCAGTAACAAATTCTTCACTTTGACCTTCCGCTCAAAAATACAGAAAATAAGTGAAAAAACTCATAGTGTAGAATGATATAAACCAAAAATGAAAAAATACCTCGATTGTGCTCACATAAAAGGAGAATAACCATGCTCAGTCTTCCCATCCCCCACTATGTGTACCCATACGGAAGAGAAATATATTTTCAATATATTTAGAAAAAAAAAATGATATACTGTACGCGACATATATTTACAATATATTGGCCTACACGAATATATTTTAACATGTATTGAATAATAATAATAATAACGTATTACAAAAATGTTAATTAAAATATATTTTTCCAAAGGCATATATTTAAAAGTATGGTTTTAAAAATATATTTTCCACATATTTTTGAACATCTAAAAAAAATGCGTTTAAACATAGATCTAAATATAGATTTAAATATACTTGTAAATGCATTCCAAATGAGGCTTTGATATATATCACAGCATGTGTTCTGAATGTATTTTTAATAATATATTCACAATTATATTGAAATATATTTTTTAAATATATTGAATATGGCCAAAATTGTAGTATTTGAACTATAAGTTAATATATGTGGGAAGAATATATTAAGAATGATTTTTTAAATATATTTAAAATATATGTTTCTTCAATGTGGGTATATATATATATATATATATATATATATATATATATATAAAATTATTATTATTTTTTTATATATTGTATATATATGTATATATATATATATATATATATATATATATATATATATATATATACATATATATATGTATATACACTCATACACATACTGTGTATACATACACACACACACATAAATACACACACACAGTATATCATTTTTATTTTATTTTAAATATATTGAACACAGCCAAACTTGTAGTATTTGAAATATTTGTCAATATATTTGGGAAGAATATATTAAGAATGTATTTTTAAAATATATTTTTCTTCCATGTGGGTACACGCCATGCAATGGATTCCCATAGGGAAGAAAAATATATTTGTTTTCCAATAGTGTTTATTTGTTTTCATCATAAGAAATTACAAATCAGTACAGAGAAGATGTACATCTCCCCCCCAATCCCATACAAAGTGGGTCTTTCCGGAACAGGCGAAAAATATATTTAACCACTTGCCTACCGGGCACTTATACCCCCTTCCTTACCAGGCCAATTTTCAGCTTTCAGCGCTGCCGCACTTTGATTGACAATTGCGCGGTCATGCAACATTGTACCCATATGAAATTTTGATCATTTTTTTCTCACAAATAGAGCTTTCTTTTGGTGGTATTTAATCGCCACTGGGCACTTTACTTTTTGCGCTATAAATTAAAAAAAGTGCAAAAAATTGGAAAAAAAAAAAAAAAGTTTATTTGTTTCTTTTATAAAATTTTTCAAACAGGTATTTTTTCTCCTTCACCGATTTGCGTTGATGAGGCGGCACTGATGGGCACTGATAGGCGGCACTGATGGGCACTGATAGGCAGCACTAAAGGGCACTGATAGGCAGCACTAATGAGGTGGCACGGATAGGCGGCACTGATAGACAGCACTAATTAGGGGTCACGGATAGGCGGCACTGATATGCAGCACTGATAGGCGGCACTGATAGGTGACACTGATGATGGGTACTGATAGACGGCACTGACTGGCATCACTTCTGGGCACTGACTGGCGGCACTGACTGGCACAACCCCTGGGCACTGACTGGTGGCACTGACTGGCAGCACTGCTGGGCTGCACTGGTGGGTGGCACTGGTGGTGGACGGCACTGGTGGGTGGCACTGGTGGGCACAGGTGGGTGGGCACAGGTGGGTGGCACTGCTGGGCACATGTAGGTGGCACTTCTGGGCACAGGTAGGTGGCACTGCAGAGTGGCACAGGTGGGGGCACTGCTGGGCACAGGTGGGGGCACTGCTGGGCACAGGTGGGGGCACTGCTGGGAATGGGTGGGCGGGGCTAGTGGGCGCACTGCTGATCGGAACTTGCGGGGGTCACTGCTGGGCACCGATCATCAGGGCACTGATCATCAGTGCCCTGATGATCGGTGCCGATCCCCGCTCTGACAACTGCCGGTTCTCGGCAGTACTTTCCTCACGATCTGACAGCGTGAGGAAAGTGCAGCCGAGAACCGGCACTTGCATTTCCCTCTGATCAGCGTGTCATTGGACACCGCTGATCACGTGGTAAAAGGCCGGTGGGATCGGCCTTTCACCACATCACGTGATCAGCTGTGTCCATAGGACACAGCGATCACGGAGATCGCCGGGTGTGCGCGCCCCCTGGGGCGCGCAGGAGAGCGCGTTCTGGGAGGACGTCATATGACGTCCACTCAGAACTGGCCGGCCGCGGTGAAGCCGTCTTTCGGCTATGCGCGGTCGGCAAGAGGTTAAAATATATTTTAAAAATATTCTTCCCAAATATATTGCAATGTATTTGAAATGCTGTACTTTTGGCCATATTCAATATATACATATATATATATATATATATATATATATATATATATATATATACTGCATGTTGCAATGCATTTTTATTACAAAATATATGAAGAATATTAAAAAAAAATACATTTCAAATATACTGTATTTCTTTAAAAATACAAATCTACATTTTTGGAATGCATTTACAAATATATGTAAAAATATATGTTAAAATTACTTTTTTATATGTTAAAAAAATCTGAAGAATATATATATGTATATTGAATATGGCCAAAATTGTATGTATATATACTGCATGTTGAAATGTGTATTTATTACAAAATATATGAAAAAGATATTTTTAAAAATACATTTCAAATATACTGTATGTTTTTAAGTATACATATCAACATTTTTGGGTTCTATTTACACATTTGTGTAAAAATATATGTTAAAGTGACTTTTTCATACGTTACAAAAAGCTGAAGAATATATATTTAAAAATATATATATATATTTCTTAAATATATTCTTCTGATTTTTTTAACATATAAAACAGTAAATGTAACATATATGTTTACATATGTTTGTAAATGCATTCCAAAAATGTAGATTTGCATTTTTAAGTATCACCTAGATTGTAAGCTCTAACCAGCAGGGCCCTCTGTTTCCTCTTCTACCAAATTGTATTGTAACTGAAACGTTTACCGTCATTTTGTAAAGCGCTGCGCAAACTGTTGGTGCCATATAAATCCT